TGTACATATGTAAGCCCTAATGATAAATGACAAGAGTAAGCATTAACAACATCATCTTAAACATATAAAGCCAAATAATAGGACAGTTTGGGAGGTTATCGAGGTTTTCCTTAAATTTGTGACGTCCACTACCTTTCACTTATTTGACTTCTAAAATAACTGCTCATATTTGGTCCTTTTCCATTTGACTTTTCATGTCCAATGTTGAAAATGTAAACATTGAATTCTTGAAGATAAAAACCTCTGATCATCATCAAGAGTTTTTTCAAGTGACTTCAAATTGTTAATTTACTATCGGATTTGCCCTTATAAGGAACTTTGAACCCATGTAATATAAGTCCTATCTGATCTTTATATTAAATAGAGGAACTTGTCGATCACACAAAAAAAGATTTACAGAAAAAACAAATGTCATAAGTTTTTTAGTTTATTTAATTTAGTATGTTATCAAGTGTTGTGCCTATTCTTAGGGAGAGGTATATTCATTGTAGTGTTGTGCTCGGTTGCTTAGACTATTAAAATATATGAGATTTCTTAGTCTCATTTTTTTAAAATTAAAACATATATTTTAAAAAATTATACTCATATTAAATTAATAATTATTTCCAAAAATCCCGACCAGCACACTTTTGTTTATGCCAAAGTACCCTCCCTAGAGCACAACAACACTGGTTCATATCAAACCATTAAAGAAAAAGAAGAAAAAGAGCTCAATGCCAAAGCGTAGTTACACAACTGCAACAATGCTTAAGCAACTTCTAGATCAAAAATATATTAATAACCATTCTATGGTTACATAAGTGGGAAGAAGAGTTAACTGAATGGGATAAATTGTTAAAGAGAGTTGTTCGGTGTGTGTGGAGAAGTGATGGTGCTTAACTGAGGAGAGTGATCTCGTAGTGAAAGTCAACCCTAAAAAATGAGTGTGAGGCGTTACATTTAAGTGTTGGAGCAAATTTGTGTAACTGGTCGAGTGGATCAAAATTTGTGTTTCTAGTGTGAATCTAATGGAGAATATTTAGTTCAATTAATTTTATTTTATACTCATGTAAAAATTTTATAATATTCAATAAAATAAATGTCTTACTATGTCGAAAATGTTTAGAGGCTAAGTTTTTTTCTTTGGTTTTTATAGTTTTTTGAACTAAATCTCATAATCTTAATCATTTGAGTGAAACTTTTTGCATCTTATTGACCATAATCCAACTTAATTTAGTATGTGCAATGGCCATGCATGTATTTAAAATTTACTGTTATCTTAAGATATCAATAGTGCATAGATTAGCATAAGAATTAGTGTAACTAAAACTCTGTTATAGTAGAAATGCATCTAGTAGGATTTATAAATCAATAGAAAAAAAATTATTTGATGCAATTCTTTTGAAATAATGCACAGAAACATTTATTATGTTATATATTAAGAGTTATGTTTTCTAAGTCATTGATGGAGACTAAAAATTGCACATATTCTCAATTTATAGGTAACATTAAATTGAAGGTAAAATTATGGAATTTATTGAAGAGGTTACAAATACAAAGAAGCTTTTAATCTTAAAAAAAGTAGTTTAGATACTATGATTTTAAAATTTTATTATTCCAAGTGTTGGATAAAAAAAAAAAAAGATATTAATATTTATCTATTTCCCTCAACAAATTCGTCAATATCCTTATGGTGTGATTGTTAGTTGATGCGACATTTACAAGTAGGTAGATGGATGCATCGATAAATGATAGAAATCAATTATGCTTTCCTAAAACATGATTTCCTCTCTTAGCAAGTGATGGTGCTTTATCCTTATGAAGGACATGAGGATTTTGAAATTTTGAGATGAAAAGCTCATCTTATAAAGTAGACATCATATAGAACACTATGATTATTAAAGTCATTTGTATGACTTGTGGTCTATGACTTGATGAGTAGCAAGTCAATGAAAAGGATGACAAAAATCATTATAAAGGAATGTGACTAAAAGGTTTTCTAATGACTTCTATGACTAGAAGTATTAAACAAAAGGAAGGACCTTGTAATATATTAGTAATGCACCAACACCTTGACTTGTCAATATTTAAATCTAAGAGAAGGGTTGCAGAGAATAAAGATTGATAAAAACAAAGAGAGTGATGAGAACATATATAAGAAATGAAGAAGAAAGTGTTTATATGTTACCTCTAAAGGGATTTACAATTATAAAGTTGTAATAAGTAAGGACTAATTTTCCAGTATGAGGTTATTCTCTATTGGTGGTAATTACTAATTGGAACTTAAGATTTTTAATAGGATTCTACTCTACTACTGTCTACTCGTGAGCTAGTTTGAATGATTTAACCCTATCAAATTTCAGAAGGGAGGAACAAGTAGTCGATGGAAGCCAAAAACTTGATTGTCAAGCTGAAAAAAGCAGAGTGTGGGTAGACGAAGTAAGGAATATGAGTAGTCCTTGATTTTCACATTAACTAAAGAGGAAGGGTAACTGAGCACCTTTTTAATATCTCTTTTTCTTAAAAAAAAAAAAGATTATGGATGGAGAGAAACAGCTGGCATGTAACTCAAATCACACTGCTAGTAGGATCTATGACTTTGAACTCATTGTAGTGACATGTTTCCAAGTTGTCATGCAAGAGATTGAAGTTTATATAAGATGTTGATGAGGGTAGTAAATAGATTATTATGAGATTTGTACATATTTTTAGGCCAATCTCACCAAGTCATCAGCAAAGTTTAGGTAGATAACTCATAGGTCAAAAAACAACCAAAGAGAATAACGAGACATTGGATGAATTCAACTAAAGGTTGGCCAAAGCACTAAATGATATGTTTAGCTAGGACCGGCTAAGAGCCGAGTCCAAAAAAGGGGTCAATGTAAGGGCTTATATCCACTCTATCCTAGAACATAATATTTAGGCATTATGATCTTAAACTTAGTCAATTTGCATGTAAATATACTAATAGTTAAGATATAAGATAGAGGGAAAGGTGCTTAAAGGTGAATGCAACATAAGATTGAAAAAAAAATATTTGTGGCTTAAATTTTATAAGAGTTGGATATGACGTAAGCATGTCATACTAGAAAAGTGGTGACATCAAGAAGGTTGTGGCATAGGTATTATGGTGACATTTAAAAAGCAAATAGAAGTTATGTCCATGTTCATACATGTGATAGTTATATCATAAGTAAAAGTTAAAATGCAAGACTTGATGCACTGACAGATGCTTGAATGAATTAATGAGGATTTGACTACCCATTGTAATTTGAATAATACCCTTCAATGAAGAGATATATGTAATTTCAGTGAATACATCTCTTTTATTATTCATAATATTGAAAAGAGTAGTTAGAAATAGAAGACAAAAATCATGATCTCCATAATCAAATAATTTTTAGACAATACTTCACCCAAGCTAACTTAAATCATCATTTATGAGACTGTTATAACTTGTGTGGCTAACTATGGTTCAATAATATAACTTATGATGACCCTACTTAATGATATGAACTATTATATTGTAGATCTCAAGCAGCAATTACATCAATGGTATGCGTCAAACGTTTTTACAGTCAAATTTGTTAGAATAATTTAATGAAGGTTCATCATTTTTAATTTGTAGTTAATGATAAATGTCAGCAAATATTCTCAATTTTTACACTTGAAAGTTTGTCATTTTAAGAGGAACAATTTAGCATAATCATTTATGAAATAGCGACCTAATTAAGATCATAATAAATCTATGTCATCTAAATGACTCATATAACTTTGCAAAATTAGGAGCATGCACCAAGCCATATGGCGGTATCCAACAAATAGATTTTGATGGGCATAATTAATTCAAGCCAAAATTGCTTGGTTTAACTTGTTCAAGTGTTTTTTCAAAGTTGAATTTCTACAACTTTGTTCTCCACATATTTAGTTAGATGAGCCAAAACTTATGATGAACCTTTTTTCATCCCGAACTTATTTGACTTTAAGTGTTGTCTCTTAAGCAAAATAATTATTGCTTTGGCTCTCTAAGTTTGCTTCTGGACATGCTCCTTGGCAAAATTTACGCTTAATAAAATAAAGGCTTTTATGATCCCAACAAATAATTATTAGATGTTTAAACCAATTTAAAGCCCACATAAGATGATGGCAAATTAATTTCAAAATGAGTCACTTTTATTTATTTTTTCCTTTAGTGTGCACACAAAAGTTTTCTATTTAAAAGACAAAAGAAATAGAGCAAGAATAATATATTATTCTAATATAATATAACTTATAGTCTTCATTTTTTTCAGTTATTCATTCACTTTTTCTAAAATAATTAAAATAATCTTAAATAATATATTTTTTTAAACTATAAAGACGACTTTACTCTTTATATAATTTTTTAATAAATTTAATTTGTTTAATTTTTAAGTTTTTCATTATTTATAAGAACTTGAATTAATTTATTTTTATTTGACATTTATGAGAAAAATGTAATACTTTATTTATTTTATTCCTCCAAAAAAATGATCAATTGTTACTAACATGTGTATTATAAACAAAAAATGCAAATATCTAATGAATAATAGTATGATCTATTAATCTTTTCTAAAATTGATACATAGCATATCTATATTTTCTCAACTTTATAAAATTATTTTCATATCCTTTTCAAAAGAATCGAGTAGTGCTAAGAAATTGGACAATGGTGCAATGTAGGTCAAATTTTTTTCATTATTTTCTTTTTAAAAGTTTCATAATTTTTAAGATTTTACTTATTTGAGTATAGTTTGAGAATTATTTTTGAGGCTTAGTTTGAATATTCCAATTTAAATAAATTAGTAAAAAAAAAATTGCTTAGTGAATCATTTGGTCAAAATTGATGATTATTATTTTTTCTTTTAAATTAAATTTTAAATCAGTGTAATAAAAAAACTAAATAACTAACTTCATATTATATTTATTTTAAAAAAAATCAAGGACAGCAAAATTTTTTTCTTTTTATATTTCGGCAAAAATATCACTGTTTCCAACTCGACTCACTCACCGGCCACGACTTTCATTTCCTCTCCTTTCTTTCTTTTCCATTAAGTGCCGGGCATTGACCATTTGAAGTCACTTGCGTGGTCATTCGAGCTCTTCAATCTCGTGTCTACAGCTTTTCTCTGGGGGAAGCAGCCGAGAAGTTTCTGATCTTATCTTCTCCTTGTCCTAAATTTAATCAAAATTAATCAGGCCAACTGTAGAGGAACAGTCTCAATCGCTCTGTTTTCAAATCTGTGGATTCCTTAATCTTTCAGGGTTTCCAGGTCATATGTTCTGCCTGTGATGATCTGATCTTTGAGTTTGTTTCGTCCCTAGTTTCTACAAGTCAAGCAGATGCTTCAATCCTCGCTGATTTTGTAGTGCTTGTTTCGACAGTGTAAGTTTCCAAACATCTTTTGTGCTACTTATCCTATTTGCTATAACTAGTAACTTCACATTTTGCACGGTATTTCTGTTTAGTAAGCGTCACGAGGAGAGGACCTGAATGGAAGCTGGTCATCTCTTGCGATTTTTTTCTTCTAGGGGTCTTTTCAGCAAAAAATATTTCTTTAACTTCATCGAAACATGTAATCTACTGTAGATGTGTTGTAGAGCTAAAGAGGAAGCCCAAAATAGTTGCAGGGTGCCTGTAATTTATTGACACTTCCTTGGAATTGAAGTAGAAAGATTCATAATCTTCTTTAGTTTAAACCTTTTCTGATTCTCTGATCCTTTCTGTGGTGGCAACCAGTTTAGCCAATTTCTCAGATAACCTCATGCTACCAAAGCTAAGCTTTTGAAATGATCAGTAGGCTAAGCCCTTGGGCTGGCATAGACTATGGCTCCATCTTACCTGTAGAGTATTATTCATTCTAATGTTTGTGATTAAGATTAGTTCATGAGCATGTCACCCCTTAGTAGATAAAAATAAAGTTGTTTATGGACCATAAGCCATATCAATGCAACAATAAATTATATTTAAACTACCTCTTACAATTCTAAGGTAAGACCAACGTTTGAAATTGCACAATTGAGTATTTAGCTGTTTTTTGTTCATGAAGCAAGTTGTAATGCAAAGTAAGAAATACGATACTAAACGTCAAAGTATGAAGTAAAAATGCTATGCTAACATTCTAACATCATCAAGATGAAGTAAGAAGTGTACTATAAATATCAAAGTAAGAAAGTAGTAAGTCAAAGTTTGTTTATCACATGAAGTTTTCCCTACTTGCAAATCAACACTACTAAGTAATATAAGCTACCAAACGTAGATGTTATAAATTCGGAAGTGTCCAACACTCTCATTACTTAGTAGCTTTTTGTTATAAATGTTGTTATAATGAATCATTTTCTCACCTTCCCCTTCTTCAGTTATCTCAATATTCTGTCAATCCTTTTCCGCATCTGGGACTTCAATTATATTTTTTACCCTATAAGTAAAAATAAAGAAGAATATTAATTAAAATTTAAAGCAATGATTATGCTAGTACAACTTCAAGCCTTTATAAAAAAAATATTTTGACAATTTTTGGTTGACTTATGTTAGACTTCTTTGTCTTGTTTTTGCCTTCATTGAAGACATTTACAATGAGATTTTCTCTATAAATCTGATGGTGTATCTTTATTGTCATATTTTAGAAACTACTAATTTGTGCACATTATTATAAATTTACTTTTTTCATTCCCCAATTTTTTTTCAAATGTTTATTTTTTAATCTCTTATTTTACATTATATAAATTAATTACCCTTAACAAAGTTAAAATTTTTTTCTTTTGATATGAACACCAATTTCACTCACACCCTAATGATGAGCATGTAAGATCAAGTACTTTGATGTTAATCTTTTTCTGTTCCACAATTCAACCCAATAATCTTCAACAATGATGGCATATAATAACCACAACCTCTCATGAAACCAACTCTATCTGTATCACATGAAATGAAAACTGCATGAGGTGCTTGTATCACAAATAGGCTGCACTAATGAGTATCAAACACTGAAGTTTTCTAAGAAGGTTTTTTCCATTGTTTGGTTGAGGGAAAATGGAAAAATCTATTCGGAAAGTGCATTACCAACACTTGTTTTGTGAAATAGACTATGACAGTGCATACAAACTAATGAAATTGTTTGTTAATGACCACCACAATTGATTCATTAAAAAAACAATGAAAATGACATATTACCAATGCAAAATTCTGCTAAAACATTGTCCCCCCATTTGTGTGAAACAAAAAATATTAAAAATACGTATGGTACACACCTATGTTCCTCTATTCACTGCATGATGGAGAAACGTAAAATTTCCCTCTTGTGAGGTGATGATATGCAATTTGAGATATATGGGAAATGGGATGTTGCACAAATTAATTCACTGATTTGTTTTATCCTCAAATTTATTCTACTTTTAAAAAAATTAAATCAAGAAAATATATAAAAAAAAGAATTCAAAATTTAAAAATCTCATATCCTCTTATTGTGAATCTCTTTGTAGCATAGACACTTATAAAAATGCGCCATACCCGTGTTAGACTCGTATCATCCAAAGACATGGCTCTGACACTTGTTCGACACTACAAAATATATATGAATTTTATTAGTCCCCAGGCACATCCGGGATACACCTCAACACGACAAGAGGCATGGAATCAACACAATTGGGGACAAAATGAGACACTAAAAGTAGAAAATTATAATTAAAAGTGTAACAGTAATTATACCTCATAGTCAAAGTCGCCTTTTCTCTCATCATGTTAAAGTTATCTCTAATATTTGTCAAAATAAAGCATAATGGTACATCAAAATCGTCAAAGCTGAGCCTTAATGGTTTCTTTTTGTTCATCGAAGCAAAACCTGTACTCGATAAAGTGGAAGCCGTAAACTTTTTTGTCCCGACTTGAGTAGGATTCAAACCTATTTGTTGAAGCCGATCCAAATAGCTTGTGAACTTTGCAATGCATGCACTGAAGCTTCTATGCATTGAAGCTAAGTGGAGTCAAAGCCGCTATAATTTTTTATGTGATATTTTATAATTTTTTTACTTTTTAATGAGTAAATATTTATAAAATTATACTTATTCTAATTTTAGAAGTTAAAGTTTAATTTAATTAATTGAACAAGGTGTAATCATAAGATATTTAAAATTTAAGTAGATAAGTTGGATGAATTCTTTTGAAACATATTGTCTAATTGTAAAAATTGATTTTTGTAAGTATGAAGTTTTATAATGTAAGTTAATTTATAAAGTTAAATTTTATTTTTACATACTTTATTTTGTGATTTCTCTAATAAAAAATAATGAAAAAATATGTATTTTATATAAATAATTTATTAAATGTAAAAATGTGTCCAGGACATATCATGCCTATTTTTTTCAATTATGTCGTGTTTTCGTCTCGTGTCGTGTTCGTATTTTCATATCCGTGTCCATGCTTCATAGGTGAATCCGGTTATTGCAGGTCCCATTACCACACTATATATCCTATTGGTCTCTTCAGCATTTAAAAAAAAATCTTAATATAAGGCCTTCGCCATTGACTCCATTGTTTGTACTCTCTCTCTTGTTTACTTTTCACTTAAACCATACAAAAACCACTCCTTAGTTCAACATTTCCTCTTAATTGCGCTCTCTTTTTCACATTGCACTCTTTGCTATCAAGCGATTTCACTTTCTGTGATGTCCTTCATCCCATACCCATCACTTGCCTCCCTCACTTCATTTATCTCCACCTTTGCTTCTACCCTGTTACCTAAAACCCTTGATAGCAAAGAAATGAGGATTTCGTGTGGGGCTCTTTCTCAAGGGAATCTATAGTACTAGTGCGTGGAAAGAAGAGGATTTCATGTGATGCATCTGTGCAACTCTCAATTCTAGTTGCTCACTTGTCACTCTATCAACCTAGCTTTTATCATACATGTCAATAACACAAAATGATCGTGTCATAGTGCATACATGACATGGTGCACCCTCGGTATCATCTAGACGGTGCAGCGTGACACAACAAAATAACACATTATTTGCGCCATGCTTGAGCAATGGCGCAAGGAACGTATGCTAAATTAATTGCTATGATTTAATATAAAGAAATAATAATAATATCTGGTCTTTTTAGGGCATAAGTTGGGCCAGTTAGTAGCCAGCTCGTCACGCTTGCATGGGATCTAGCAATCAAACACATAAGGAGGCTCTCTTCTTATTTCATTATTTAATTATTTGTTAATATTTTTTTGGTTAATTTCAAGAAATTTATTTCGTGGAGAATGTGGCATCACATTTCAGTTAACTTAGAGTCACATTATAAATATAGTTAAAAGGTTTTCTTAGCATAAAAAACATAGTTTAGTCAATATGTTTTTATTTGTAATAGTTTAAACATAATTTAACTTAGATCCAAATGAAATTATAGTAGCTCTATGAAATTCGATTTAGCACTTCCCCTTGAAATAAATTATTTTATTCTATTCATTAAAAAGATGCTTGGATGACCACATATTCGATAAATTTATCTCATTTTTTCAATCTTTTTGGATAAATTATGTGTATTGCAGTTAGGTATCTGAGAGAATCTTGAACTCAATTCAATCAGAAAACAAGATCTGATATGGAAATATGCAATTTTGACAAATTAGGGTGGTAGTAATTGCGTGAAATGTTTTTGTTTATGATAAAATAAGAAAAGACAAAATAATTCGTCATAAACAACACTTGGTGGGAGTTTCAAAAATGCTAATGCTTTTAGCAACTATCCTCAGTATGTTAAGTTAGAATTAGAATCTCTGAAGGAGTTGAAAGATCAAATTAATGAAATACCACACAATAATATTAATAAAGTTGATAAGTTTGATATGATGGTAGCTGATGATATGTTATGTGTTCGATAGTCCAGGACATCAAAAGTTATCATGCCTCAAGATGAAATGTCTCTAGCCAAAGTTCAATGACATCTATGATTAATAATTTGAAGTTTAAAGGACCGTCGATTACATTCTTTAACCAAATTCTTTCGAGATGGTGAAGCAATGAAAAAGTAAAATGCAAAAAGAGATGGATGCTATTAGGAATGAAATGAGAGAAGAGCCGTTCAAATATTTCATTGTTGAATGTATGCTGCTGGCATTCTCTCCAATGTAACTAAGTATGAGAAGCTTCCGACAATAGTGGAAGTATTTTGGTAGTTTGATTAGAAACGAAATTGTTTAGTTATCATGTTGTGTGAGTTTCATTTTCTTAAAAAAATGTAGGACATGCATAGGGCTGCAATCAACCTATGTCGAGTCGAGTATGTCATGGATTGGACTTGGCTTGGTCGTTTCACAAGTTCATATTTAGTTTGAGCTTGAGCCAAACTTTCACATATATGCTTATACTTGACTAGCTTAATTTTTTAATAATCTTATTGGGATTCTTTAAATTAATTGAATAAAAAGTTTAACTGAGTTAATAAAAAAACTAAAAAATTTGAATGAAAATGTGAATTTTAATAAAAAAAAATTATAAATCTAAATAAAGAAGTAATCTAAAAAAATTTGGATTAGTATCTAACTAATTTAAATCAAGTAAATAAGATAATATAAGTTATAAAGCTTCATTGCAAAAAAAAATAAGATAAAGTACAAAACAATTAGTGGAAGACATTGCTTTAAATTTATATGCATATTGATATGGAATTATATAATGTTATTATTAAATATATAATTAAAAAAATTAATTAATTAAATTTGATTTAAATTAAAGTTTATATAAATATAGAATATTAATATGTTACTTATTAAAGATAAATAAGCTTGTTCGTGAACATAAATAAACAAGTTGTTTAACTTTGATTCATCTAACCTTTGAGTTTTTAAAAAATATTTAAACTTTTTTATCAACTAATTTTAAAAAAAGCATGATGGAGCATTAATCTTGCTAATTATGAGCTGTTTATTGAGTGCATTGGTTCATTTACAACCCTACACATCACAGCTATTGCAATGCCATAAAATAGATTGTCTTAAATATGATATTTCTTTTATGGTTGATGTTTGGACATCTTGTAATGGAAAAAAATTTTGGTGATTTTTTTTTGAATTATCCTAGAGGAACCATATTCAGAGTCAAATGATGCTTTTTCTTATTAAAATAATACGTTGAACATATTTGAATTGTTAAGCATGTTTATCGAGAAGATTGGACCACATTTTTTTATTGAAGTGACATTGATAATGTTTTTGAGAATGTTCTTGTTGATTAATGACTATTCAAAGCACATATTTTTATTTGATTCAGGTTTATTATTTTTGCATGTCAATGTTTAATTGTTGAATGCTTTGTGGTACTATTGTTGGAAATTTATTGATGGGTATCCACACTTGTATTGGACTCTTTGTATTGTTCACTGTTTGGATTTTATAATAACACGTCTTCAAAACTGAAACATTAAAGCATTGTTTTGAGATGTAGTAGCCAGTAGCTATACATAATTTCGTTTATTCAAGAGTTCGATTGCTTGATTTAATGAGATGTACAAGTCAAAGATAACTTATAAAGCTTGCTAATACTCGATTTGCTACTGCTTTCTAAAATTACAATGTTTTCATGAATAACAAATACATATGTAGAGAATGTTCCTATTTGAGGAGTTTGTGCTGGATTTTTATTGAAGGAATCCTAAAACAAAACAAACACAACAAATTTTCTTGAAGCAATTTTTTTGGAACCCTATGATTAATGCGCTCGAAGTTGGTGTCCTTTTATTGAAGGTCTTTAGTCTTGTTGATAGAGAAAAAACGCCTTCAATGAGTTTTATAAATAAAGTAATGAACATGACTAAAAAGTCATTAGTTCCTATGTTTAAAATTGTTCAATGAGGTATTGAGGAGTTTTTTGTTTTTAGAGGTGATGTGTAAGCCTCAAGGTGTTTTGAAGCGTAAGCCACACATTTAAAAAAAATGTAAATTAATAAATATAGCATGAACTCTAAAGTGCGAAGAAATAATATATTAGTATTTTACTTTATTAACACAAAAAATAATATAATAATATTGTAACTAAAGTGGCGTTTGGCACAATGATGGCTTGACAAGGCGTTCTTAGAACACACCGTTTGTGAAGCGCGACAAGGGGCAAAATATGACACACGATCGGAGGACTCGATCCATGTCGGGTTGTGTTTCACAATTTACTTATTTTTTTTTTTTCAATTTTACCCTCCCTCCACTATTTCAAATGTCTCATGATATCCATGATAAAACTTCTGGCTTAGTGCATCACTTGACTTATTTTACTACGGCCGATCGTCTCTCTACATGGCTGAGGTTCATTTTCCGCTGTCGATCTTCTTTTTTCTCTCACTTTGCTGTAGGTAAGATGCTTGAAATCCTTCTCTCTTTGTCTCTCTCACTCTCGACGAGTGTGCGTACTTTTCTCTCAGCAACTCCCTTACTCTCTTGGCTTCATGCAAGATCATATCATTTTTTTTGGTTCAGGTTATTATGCGTCTGATGTTGTTTGTTCTTAAATGTCTGAGATTATTGCTTTTGAAATGTTGCTTCTTCTCGATTTGTGCTCTAAATTTTTTGTGTAAGCTCTTAATATGTCCTTATAATATCATTAAGCAGAAGTACACTATTTAGATAGTGATCATGTGTGAATGATAGTTTTGAAAAGAAAATTATTCAAAAAACCTGATTGTTTGGATATGAAGAGTAATATTATAATAATATTACTCATTGTATTGTAATTTTGTGTGATTTAGTGTTGAGTGATGTATAGCTTTTCATATAATATATTGAAAATTTGATTTTTTATAATATTCTGAATTTTTTTTTGGTGCTCTATTTGAATTATTTTTAAAGTGATGAACTTACAACTATTTTCTTTAAGGGCATTACAGTCTTTATTTCAGAAACAACTGCAACACAACAGATTCACATCTGAACTATCCAAACAGGCATATTGCTTTTGTTGCAACAACTTTTTTACAACAGTTTTTTCTGATAACAACTTCACAGCTGTTTCTTCAAACAGTTGCAGCTGTCCCAAACTGACTCTAAATAAAAAACATTAAATTGCGTAAAATTAGAAATAACACATTAATATTCTCACATCGGATTATGAAATAAGATTAGTTCTACAAACATTAAACTATTAAAGTCAGTTAAGATTTTAAAATAAAATACTATAGCATCAAAACATAATAAAAAATAAGTTCAATGTTAACATTTCTCTCCTTATACTACTCTCCACTCAAACAAGAATATAACAATACATCAATATTTGAATTTTTAATTTTAAAGTTTCTATTACTCTCATCATCCAATTAGTCTAGGTTGTTTTTGGATTAAATTCAGACATTTAATCACACATGATTCATGTTTGTCATCTCTTTCATAAATATTGAGAATGATGTGTCTACATATAAGCGGGGTTTTGCTTGAGGTACATAAGTCATCGGAGATGCCTGCACTGTTTGTGCTTTCAACTATATTTAGGTGATGTGGGGCCACCAATAATTCTATAATACCGAGTGCTACAGTGGTTAGATGTGCTCCCATCATGACTCTGAAAGTCAAGGGGACATAAACACATTGCGTATTCGACATCTGCACATCCACTTTTTTGAATGAGCAAGGCACGCACCATTAATGCTGTAAATTGGATCTTGATGTGATTTTATATTCATTGTGGACATTCTTGAAATGCATTCATTATTAATATTAATAATATTCTCATTATTTTAGGTTTGGGACAAGAACCTTGGATTGATACTTTGGGAGTTTCCCTACTAGTTTTACAGATCTATTCTTTTCTGCTTTGTTTTAGTAGACCTGAATGTTAGAGGCTTCTCTTGGAGCGAAAAAGTTTTATGAGAGGACAATTCAATTTCTTGATTGAACACAATAGTAGATTGAGTTACATGCTTACCTCTAACTACTTGCTTTATGGGAGGTATTTATGGTTTGTAGCTGTTAAAATTATTCTAAAATTATATATATATATATATATATGTTTCAAAATAAAGGGACTTGATTTTCAACTTAAAAATTGAATTGAAATCAATTATATTTTTACTTGACTTGAACTTGACTTAAATCAAAATTGTAGCTTTCAATTTGAGTTGATGCCTGCATCCTCAAACTCAGCGTGATACCTTCCCAAGTCCTTATTTTTAGGTCTTTGTCATTGAAGGATTCCATTACTCATTAATCATTGTAGAATTTCTAGTTCACAGTTTCCTTGCTGACATATTTAACTTTGTAGCATGGTTTAACTAAAAATTTTTCCCTTATTAGGGCTTTTTTCCGGTGTTAATCTACTGTAGAAAACGTGAGGCATGTTTCCTGCATGTTTGTTTATATGTCGGTGGCATATAGTATGGTTGGACAATTAGAAAAATTGACTTAGTTATTAATGTATCAGCTAGCCTTGTTTTGTGTGTTACGACTTAACAATATAGTACATTTGATTTGAGGGCAGAGATTTCATATATGAATTCAGATCTTAGGGAAAGCGGACAGGAGAAGACAAGGTGATTTCATATGTGAATGCTTGACTTGTACTTGTAAGAGCTCTGCAATTATATCAACAAAAGCTTGAATTTAAAGCAATGTGTTGCTATATTTTGATTATTTATTTATTCTAATAATACTTATTATTTGCTTTTCCTGATCAGTTCATTTACCTGTTAATCATTGATGATCAACGTCTCTTCATTAATGAAAACCTTGCCTTGTTTCTTTCAGTGAATTTGCTAAAAAGTTTGTCTGCTACTGTATTTCTATATTTGTTTTTAGTGAATGCATCACACAGACTCGACAGGGACGATGCTCTCAGTTAGCTTAGCATGATGAAATTTTGGCTTGATATTGATGTCCCTACAAAAGTGAAACTTTATGATCTAAATTGAAGATTTATATCTGCTGAGATATCACTTTGAAAATATGAATCACCGGGAGGAGAGATATGTGAGGTCAGATTGCTTTTCTTCTTTTAAGTTAAAAAGTTCTCACCTGCTTTATTTCTTTTATCTAACAAGGCAAGTTTTTATCTGTGATTTTTTAGCATGCATAGTTGCTATTCATAACTTTGGTACTTGTTGTTGTGATCCCTACCTTTTTTTTGTTTGCTATTATAGGACATGCCTTGTTGGAGAATTTTTGTTTTTCGAATGTCAATATGTTTATTAGCTAGATAAAAAGAAAAGTACATCAAAGATATTTAACAGAAATGCCAGAGTAAGAGGAGAAATAAAACAGGCTAATGTAAGATCATTTAGATTGTCTAGCTTAAAGTATAGTGAATAATGGAGAATATTGATAAATTTTCTTTTATTCCTACTCTTTCTAGCATAGAGTGAGACCAGAATTAATTCAAGACACAAAGAAATGCAAATATTATTGTTGGAATTCAAATAGGTTACAACGACAACTCTTCAAAACATGAAATAAACGATGACAACACAAAAGGACACCCGACACCCTCGAGCGACATCGAAGGGGGTGGATGACGGCTGACCAACAGGTAGATGTGTGCGGAAGAGGTGGTAATGACAACTAGGGGGTGCAGAATGTGGTTTTAGGTGATGGGGTAGCAAGAGAGGGGGCTATAGGGGCTTTCAACAACAACAAAGTTAGGTAGCGAGGGTTGTGGTAGCTGTTGGATGGTCTTGAGGGGTTTGCGGTAGATCTCTTAGGTGGGGAGGGGGGGCTAAGGGAAAGGGTTGCAGTAGGTCTGGTAGGTGAAAAAACAAGGAAGATGGGGTTCAGTAAGTGGTTAGCAAATAAAAAAATGGAAGATACCCACCACCCTAGACGAATTATAGCCGGAACACTTTCTTGTTGTCGAATACAACCTTATAAGGGAAAAATGGGATATCGGAGGCTGTCCAAACAGAAATCTCAACCAAAATTGAACCCAAAAACCAAATAACAAAATATTTATAATAAACTAAGATAATTAGGAGGGGGGTGGGGGAGAGGGAGCCCTCCGAACCTTAATTAGGGCCGATCAGTTCAACGTCCCCGCTTAACCGCTACCCCTTGCTAAATCAAAGCCCGGTTCAACACCTTGTAGCCCCACGTCAGTTTCTTAGGGTTGAGGGAGCTTCAACCTCATTCATCAAACCTTCTGTTTGCCTTTTGTGAGTGATGGAGTTGTTGGAAACTCCCTGGACTGAAGGCTCATCGATTGCAGTACAAAAAACATTTGGATCCCACCGACCACTGCACCGTCTCCCAAAACACCTGATGATTTTCCTCCACTTGCGAGCATATATCGATATTGATTTGCTCTCCTAGGGTCCACTACTTAATTGAATTGAGTCGGTCTATCTCGCATATACTGCTGAATCCTCCCAAAGTAATCTACAATCAGTTTAACCTAATATGAAGTGAGAGTATCCTGAACCTCTCCGATCGGTGGTGGCCATGGTGGTAAGGTAGTGACCGTGATATCCTAAAATACCACTTCTGTGGCTGTCTCGTGTCTGGAGTCGATGTCCTAGTCTTGTCATCCTCTATCTTCTCCAAAATTGGCCCACCGGTGCAGCTCTATCGATAAGGGTGCCTGTGATCTATGGCTCCGCCGAAGGTAGAAGGATGATGCATTTCCCATTCTCAGTGAATGAGTAGATGTTTCTGAATTCGTCGTGGCGAGTGCCAAGTTCAAATTGCACGGTCTCCCCAACAACAAGTGGCAGACATCCATGGTTACCAAGTCACACCACACTTGATCTTGCAGTTAGCTCCCAAGCGAAAACTTTACGAGGCACCTCAGGTCAATACTGGCCCCGTTCTTCTTCAACAACATCAGAGAATACGACAGGGAATGCCTCTGAGAAATGAGACCCAATTTCTCTACCGTATGTGTGGATGCTACGCTCTTGTAGCCCCATGTCGGTTCAACCTCCCCGCTTAACCGGTACCCCTTGCTAAATCAAAGCCTGGTTCAACACCTTGTAGCCCCATGTCAGTTTCTTAGGGTTGAGGGAGCTTCAACCTCATTCATCAAACCTTCTTTTTGCCCTTTGTGAGTGATGGAGTTTTCGGAAACTCCCTGGCTGAAGGCTCCTCGATTGCAGTATGGAAAGCATCTGTATCCCACCGGCGATTGCACCGTCTCCCAAAACACTCGATGATTTTCCTCCACTTGCGAGCATATATCAATATTGATTTGCTCTCCTAGGGTCTACTACTTAACTGAATTGAGTCGACCTATCTCACATATATTGCTGAATCATCCCAAGATAATCTACAATTAGTTCAATTTAATATGAAGTGAGGGTATCCTGAACCTCTCCGATCGGTGGTGGCCATGGTGGTAAGGTAGTGACTGTGATATTCTAAAATGCTCACTTATGTGGTTGTCTCGTGTTTGGAGCCGATGTCCTAGTCTTATCATCCTCTATCTTCACCAAAATTGGTCCCCGCCGGTGCAACTCTACCGATAAGGGTGCCTGTGATCTCAGGCTCCGTCAAAGGTAGAAGGATGATGCACTTCCCATTCTTGGTGAATGAGTAGGTGCTTCTGAATTCGTCGTGGCGAGTGCCAAGTTCAAATTGCACGGTCTCCCCAACAACAAGTGACAGACATCTATTGGTACCAAGTCACACCACACTTGATCTTGCAGTTGGCTTCCAAGCGAAAACTTTACTAGGCACCTCAGGTCAATACTGACCCCATTCTTCTTCAATAACATCAGAGAATATGACAGGGAGTGCCTCTGAGAAATGAGGCCCAATTTCTTTACCGTATGCGTAGATGCTATGCTCTTGCTGCTCCATCGATGATGAGACCACATACCTTCCTGCTCACAGTGCAACGGGTGTAAAATATGTGATGAAGCCTCTATAGATCCCTTGTATCATCAGTTTGTAGGATTTGTCAAACCACGAGCATCCGCTTTCATTCGGTGGGAGATGATGCACCTTACTCTGCTCCGTAATTGTCTCTTTGTAGCCAACTTCTTCCACAACGCCCTGCTCGGTAAAAGACACAACTTGACTCGTCGGGCAAAAATTCATGACATCTGAAGCATTTTTTGGCAGGGATATTAATAGGCATGCTAATCTTCTCCGGCTTCTTCTCACTGGGAGGATGTGCTTTGGTGTATATTTTTTACTAATGATAAACTTCTTGTGGATGAGACTAGAGAAAGAGTTCAGAAAAAAATTTAAATTATGGAAGTCTACATTTGAGTCTAAAGACTTTCATTTGAGCAGATCTAAAACTGAGTACATAGAATGTAGTTTTAGTAATATTAGATCGAGTGGTAGAGTTGTAATAATGGGTGATTAAATTATTAAAAGGTGTGAATGTTTTAGATACCTCGCCTCTATTGTTCAAAGTGATGGTGATATAGAATTCAAGTTTGATGTTGGACCTATTGTGTGTTAGAAAAGTATTGTTTAGACATAAAGAAAAATTTTATTTGATGGTGGTGAGACCTGTAATGCTTTCCACAGAATGTTGGCTTTTAAATGAGAAGCATAAAACTAAGCTAAGTTTTATTGAGATGAGAATGCTTAGTTGGATGAGTGGCTTGACACTTAGAGATAAATGAAAATTAATGTTTCTGTGAAAGGGTTAGTGTAGCTCTAGTGGCAAACAAGATTAGAGAGAGTTGTCTTAGATGGTTTGTTCATATTAAACATCAACCATTTGATGGGTTAGGGGAGTAGATGCTTTACATTTGACTTGTGTTAAAAAAGTTAAAGGTAGACCTAAAAAGACTTGAGCATGTTGTATAAAAATGATCTTTATTTGTTGGAATTAAATTAAAATATGACACTTAGTAGGACACAATGGAGAAAAATGATTCATGTAGCTAACCCAACAATGTGGGATAATGGCTCGCTGTTGTTGTTCTTATATTAGTTATTATTGTGGGGTATAAATATGACTTATTATGTTTAGGGTTGGGGTATGCTATGTGATTATTTTTTAGAATCCTAGGGTTAGGGTTTGGGAATAATTGCATACCTTACAAATTGTAGCTGCTTATCTTTATGTATTCAGATTATGTTGTTTTGTGTTATTGAAAAAAAGCTTTGTTTATCCTAATTTTTGTTGAAATTCGTTTCCGTTCATATCATAATACTTGGTGAAGATGCCCTTCTTGCGTGAGTATTAGAGAAACTCAATCATTTTACTCGAGAAATGCGCAAATCCTAGCACACACCATTAGTTAACAATGTTCACTTTAAGGTGCCGAACTGTCAAAATCTTAGCACAACCTATTAAATAATGGAATTTTAGTAAAAGTTCTTGTTGAGATAGCGATCTCTTTTTAGATATGAAAAATAAGTTTTGGTAGGCATAAAGTCAAACCTGAGTACGTTTGTTTCTAAGATTAAGATGAATTGATGTTGGAATTTTGTTTCTTTTTATTTTCTCTATTGAATCTCTCTTTAAAATTGCCAGTTTTATACTCAAAATCATCTCATAGTCATCTTTATAATTCTGTCGTTGTAATAATGATAAGCCTCCATATAAAAAAAATCCTCCAATTAATGTTGATTATAACTTCAAATTCAAGTGATTTACTGTTTGTATTGTACAATCATAATTGTGAATGATCAGTTCAAGTTGATTGTAATGTTTGTTGAGTTTATAACAAGTGTTAATTAAATTTTATTCGAAGATAAATTACATAGTATGATGGACATTGCAACTTATGATTAGTTCAATTTTTAAAATATTCAATTAATGCAAATTGGTTATGCTGTTTTATTTTGAAATATAACATATGGTTGGTATGATATAATATGATCATGAGATTCATTTTTATTAATTACATAAATTTAAGCTACCTTGCAATTCAATTAATTCAAACTTACGAACAAACCTGATATATAGTATGATCAGTTCTAGATCTTTAAACAATATTTTCTGCTTGATTTAGTCAATCATTATGTTTAATTGTGAATAATTCACAAGCTATATGATGATTTTTTACTTAAAAAAATTAAT